TGGCAGAATATTTCCTAACCACTTAATGTAGAAAAATAGGAAAGTTAGGGCATATCAAGATATTTCTGTTGCAAGGAAACATTTAGTAATGAATAGTATATTTTAAATAGCTAACATATAATCCCAATCCCTAGGTCTAGGGTATTTTTAGCGATTGAAGCCACAAAATAGGAATATTTTCCGGGTGTTGAGCTCTTGAGTTTGACCTGCCTTAGTCCCTAATATCCATAATGTGTTGCTAAGTCTCTTCTAAAGTTCTCCAACAATGGTTGAAGGGGGTTTACAAACTATTCAGTGAATACACCAACAAGGTCTTTTTCTTACCCAGACATTGGTTAAAGTCAGAACCATCAATATTCAAGAAGCTAAAGAATGTTTTAAGATACAGACAAGAGTCTGATTTACAAACTGGTACTTCTCATCCTGAATTTGAGGAATTCCTATTATTAGATAATGCTGATATCTGAGGGGATATTTTATAACATGACTTCAGGCAGCAGCAAACTGAGGGGGCAGGGGAAATTTCTACTTTCTACAATGCTGTAATCCATAGATTTAGCCAGAACATCTCATATTTTGATTTCCAATGGAGGAGAAAGTTTTTGCAGCCTTGTACAGGTGTTTAAAAATGTTTTGGGGTTACAGCTGCCTTCTTCTCCTTTCATGATGATTACACTAGAGTGATTATACTGGAGAAGACATTGCTCATTCAAATAATCAGGGCTAGTCCGTTTTCCCATATGATGGAGGGTTAAGAATACACCCTAAAGTGAGTGGAGATTAAATATGAAATTGTCTTCCTAAGTGTTCTACATAAGATCTTTGTTCTGGAATAAAAACCACTGGTTCTGACTGCTGCATTTAATTTTTCCCTACACCCACGACATTGATAGGGGTGGGCAATGTAAAAGCTATTAAATCGGAAAAAATTATCTTGCTTTTGCCAGCTATCAGACCTCAAACAAGACATTTCTGTGGTGAATAAAGCAGGTTGTGCATTCACTAAACTGCTCTCTGATCATCTAAGCTGTTCAGACAGATGGAAATTTCTCCCTGAAGAAAGGTGGTGATCAGGTATGGGACCTGCCTTGCCAGCCACGACATTTGTCCCCCAATGGACCTCCCTTTGAACCAGAAGTATAAATCAGCTGTACAGCAGCAGCAGCAAGTTACTGCAGGGTTGCTGTTATCCCGTGCAAACATGGCACTGTGGTTTGTATTCTTTTGATAAATAGCTTAAACATCAACATTTCATTGTATGCTAGGCTGTTCAATTAATCAGACTGAGCCACCCAAAGGACAGAAGATACTCAAGTGGCTGCTAAGAAAACATACCCCTTTCAAACTGTTTATTGCCTATTAGCTAGGGTGCAGGGAAACGGAGACCAAGAACTAGGTCATGGATGATCCTTTTCTTTCTTTAGCTCAGTCACCAGTTCTAAGGTAGTGATGGTACTGCCTTTAAAAAATAGTGATAGTGAAAAGACAATGTAAACAAAAGGTAAGAATTAGCCCTCAGAAATCAGATCAAAACAAAGGAAGATATTCTTTTAATGGATAAACCTTTTCATCTTTTCCCTGAGCTGCTACATCTATTCATTAATTTTCTGAATAAAATAGAATGACTGCTGGGAATCAAATGCAATATTTAGACTTAAGAATTGCATGCTGCATTTTTGGATGCATTTATAAAGGGGCCACTCTTTGGAAACATACTTAGTAACTATACCTATGGTGCTAAACCTGACAGAGTTTTTTAAAAAAAAAAAAAAGAAAAGCAACAGAATGTAATCATCTATCTTCTTTCAAAAGCCTGTAGCTTCCCATTCTGTGTGTGTGTGTGTGTGTGTGTGTGCATGTGCATGCACAAAGTTCAGATTACCAGAGCTATATTGTTTATGCCAAATCAATTGAAAAGGATTCACTTTTCAGATGTATATTAAAACTCATCTCCATGCATATGTCCAAGTAATCTTAAAATCTCAACACAGCCAAAAAATTGTTGGCAACTGCTGCAAAATGTGCTTCTACTTTAGGGTCTACGTGAAAGATACACCCTAAGGAGGTGTAACACCAAGCAATTTTCCTTTTACTACTGTACATTTCGCATCAGAAAAACAATATCTAAAACATCCAATTTACTACAGAAGAAACTTCTGGGACATGTATATTTATGAATATGCAACCATACTAATATGAATTAGTAAACTATGATGAATTTCCCATAATAAGAGCCACTACAGTACTACATTCAGCTCCTTGAAAGTAAGGAGCTGGGGCACAGGTCTACAGAAGCCTCTGGTAGCTCTTTGATAAAATCTCATGATAATGAGAGTGCTAAAGGTCAAGGCTGATAAAGTAATAGAAGGGTGAAGTAAAACCCATTAAATCCATATTTTCCTTAAGCTATTTAACTATGGCTCAAGTTTTTTTTTTTTTTTTTTTAACTACACTAGAATTTGAGTAATTCCAATAAAGGGAACATCTAACTTTTATTTAACATTGCATTTTTCTGATCTGGCCCCCCCCCCCCCCCTTTAAAATTTCAGTTAGCTTTTACTTTTTGGACAGATTTACTCTTACGGTAGATAAAAAGTGAACCTTCTAGAAGAAAAGAAACCTCACTTTTTTTAGGATAGGAAAAACTAATTTGGCAGTTTGGGACTTACGTGGTATTTAACATTTCAGGACTTGTATGTATGTAGTTAAGAATGCAGACCAATTAGGTAGATTATTTTATTTTCATGTTCTATTTTATTATTCTTTCATATTTGTCGTAGACCTCTTTGAAGAGTAAAATTCTTGTTATTCAGAGCTGTTTTTTTGACAGTGGTAAAGAGGATACTTCAGCTAGGGATGTGTTGGAAATTGACAAGATAAATTCTAGTGTATGAAGTACAGGTATCTGATAACTCTCATAGCAAGAAGTGGCCTACATGTTCTTTTCGAAGTGGTATTGGAAAAGTTCTCTAGGCTGGATGCCTGGTAAACCTTAACTTCCCAATCTGAAATCACTCTTTATTCAGGCTTGCCTCAGGGTTTGAGTCCAGACGACAAGTAAACCCCGGACACCTTCTCTATTCTACAGAGACCCTATGAAGGGGGTAGGTTGGTAAATGTTTTAGCAGCTGGCTCTAAAACACATACATATGACGCACTTTTAATTTTAATCTTCATTATTAACATTTTCTTCATCACTTTTTTAAGTCTAGATGACAACAAAACAATAAATCAAGCCCTGATTTGTACCGTTTGTCCGTATCACAGCGAAATTTTAAAAATCAGCTTTCACGAGCTGGTTCAACTTGGCTCTGTCACACCCCTGCTCTATTAACTAATTTTTGTACCATCCTGAGACTTGCTTCTTGCAATCTGAGTTAGTTCTGAGGTTGATCCTCAGATTCATCTCAGCGTCTGGCTTGGCTCTGGGGTGATGAATGTCCCTGGACAGGTGTTCCTGATCAGTTTAGACCCTAATCCATTGGATCTGTTCCAGAATTGGCTCTAACAAGGAGCAGGTTTTAATCTTTCTGAATTTAACTTTCAGGGACCACTTCAAAACATAATTCCAAGTGTTTACTTAGTAATGGCTTCGATATCATATTATCTTTCAAAACTAACAGCACTCAATTTTAACATAGGGTTTAAAAATTATTTAGGTTAGCTATCGAAATGAATGAATAATGTTCTAGCTCATCTCTTTCAAGATATAGCCATGGCTAATTCCCTAACTGCCCTCAGAGAAGCTTATATATGTGGTTTTTTTTTAAATTTGCACAGAGCCTCCTTTGGAGAGCCAGGGGAAGCTCCAGAATATACACAAAATTAATAGTTTTGTAATAAGGTGACAAGAATTTTGCTAGGTCAGGTAAGAATAGTGGGGTTTCATAGTGAAAACTTGTTGGGTGGGGAGATGGAAGCAACATGGAGAAGTGCAGAGAGGATGGCAAAGGGCTTTGGCATTAGAAAGCAAAGTGTGTTATCTTATGATAATTGCAGGGGACTCCCTTGCTGCCTGCTCTCAAGGTGCAACAGCTCTCCTGGGCTACCCCCTTCTTGTCACAGTGGTTGCGGTAGTAATATCAGTAAGAAAGCTTACAATTGCAGGGTTTTGTTTTTTTTTTTTCAGTGCTACTGGGTACTCCATAACCAACAGGAGAGCTAACTTTGATCATGCTTCGGTGACTTTTGTTTAGACAGAAGTCCGAGGAGATCACATTTCCGAATTTGTCTTCAGTAAAAAATAATTTCTAGTGAGATAGGACCTCACTGACTTCTCTCTTCACTAAACAAGCTAAGGTTTTCAGCCTCTCCACAGAATTCTAATGCATGAGACTGAGAGAGCAAGGGAGACATGACACAATGCTGGCTCTGATTATAGAATATACTGTATATACCTTCAGTAAGGCTCAGTCTACCTTTAGGTGAAACAAGTATTTTTGGTTTAAAAAAAGTAATAAAAATTGTTTGGGAGTTTGACCTGTGTATCACCAAGATCTATGGGCTATGTACATACAAAGTTTTCCAGGATTCAGCTTGGTTTAGTAGAAAGAGCACTAGAGTCACAGGGTCTGAGACTGAATCCTGGCTCAATGACAGAGCCGAACAAGTCACTTCATGTCTGGGCCTCAGTTTCCTAAATGAATTGTAATGTCACTTCCAGCTCTAAAGCTATGATCTCAGGATCCAGCATGATCTCTCAGATTTTCAGGTTTTAAGGCCTTTTTGAGGCCAAATGGTTGCCTGTCTTCCTGGTCACCTCAAGGAGGTAGACCATTGAATGGGCATCTACCCTTTTCATTCTGGTTTGTACTTAAGATCGTTCAGTCGTTTTAGTCATGACCAACTCTTTGTGACCCCATTTGGGGTTTTCTTGGCAAAGATACTGGAGTGGTTTACCATTTCCTTCTCCAGCTCATTTTACAGGTGAAGAAACTGAGGCAAACAGGGTTAAGTGACTTGTCCAGGGTCACATAAATAATAAGTGTCTGAGGCCACATTTTAAATTAGGAAGATGAGTCTTCCTGACTTCAGGTCTGGAACTCAATCCACTGCACCACCTAACTGCCCCATAAACTTAAGATTAGATTAGGTAAAGTTTTCTCCCCCTGAAAACCTAGGTGACACACATCTGAAGCATCTGGAAATGGACCTGATCAAAGTGTATAGACACCACAGTTTTGTTTAAATAAAGCCAAAAATATTTAGGCAAGAATTAAAACCTTTAGTATATCAACCTCACTTTTAATTAAAAAAAATTTGTTTTGATTAACATATTTGACTCTTGAGAACACAATCACCTTCTTATAACTTGTGGTCCCTTATGAGTATATTTCTCACATCGAAAGATGAAGCATTTGGTTTGTTAGAGACCTCACTAAAGAGATTATAATTAATTCTGGGAACTAAAGAGCCCCAGATCTGGATGATTCCCCAAGAATTCTATCTTTGGGCCTACAGAGAGATAAAAAAAAAAAAACTCACCTCACCCAATGTTGATTGATTTCTCATTACGTACAATTTCATAATTCCCTTAGAGTAAGCTCATCTTTTGGACTGACAGCTAGTAACTTCATATTGAGCATCTTACACAAGTAAATACATGCCCTATTTAAAAAAAGTGCCTCTGTTAAAGTTGTTAGTTTAAAACGGCATACAAAATATCTCTTTTAGGATGTCTTTTTCACCACATAGTACTTTGAAGCACAACTTTAGGTTCTGGTAATGGTAATGGAAAGGAAGAGCTATAAACATGGGGATTCTCTTAGTTGTATGTCTTCAGTTTGGCCTATTCCTGTCCTTGCTGCAGTGAGATAAGAGACCTAGTGAATGACCAGTCACTAGTCAAAATGGTGAAACCTTTTGTTTAGGGAGTGAGTTGCATCATTAGCACTAAAGGCTGCTCCTTCTCTTTCTTGCCTGACAGTGACACTGCCCTAGATGTGCTTCATGGAGATGAATAATGTCTCCTCTGACCAATGATGATGCAGCCTGTGCGGACAAAGCATTGGGCATCTTGAAAAATGTTTTTGGTCCCCTTGAGATGTTAAGCACCAGAGCTTATTAGCAGAGTCTCTTGCTTCTTAGAAGGATGGAGGTTTTTAAATAGGGCTTTTTAAAAAACAAAACAAATGAAGCTAACTTTAGTGTTATTTAAATTTACACACTGATGTGGCAAAACAGTGTTCCAAATCCCAGACTAACAGCAAAGTTACACAGAATGAGATTGTCTTACAAAACAAACCAAAAAACTAACTATATATAAAAAATGATCATACAAGTAATGCCTCCTTTGATTACCATTCTTATGACAAACACAAGCCTGGGAAAATCATGTATTTCTGCTTCCTGGGACTTATAACACAGGGTTGATCTCTACACAGAGAAAACTCATTAGTCTAAAGAGTAACTTTTATTTCCATAAGCTTATTAGGCTGAGAGTCACTCAGTGTTAATAATGGCACCTAAACATTTTAATGCTACTTGTAGGCTTTCTAAACTAGAATACTGAGATGAAAAAGGACTCTACCAAGATGTTCTAATAAGGAGAAACTGCTGTAGGTTTGAGGGAGGTGGGGAGTTTGTTACGTGCAGCTCTGGTAGTTGTTTTTTTAGGGAGATGAATTTCTAGTAGACCGACCTGTGTGCCCAGAGCACTACATAATATGCTCCATAGCCACACTGGTATTCATGAATCCTACCCTGATTTGGCTCTCATTTATATTCATGAATTCTACCCGGTTTCCACTTGGGTCAGTGCTGCAGAAGGCATGAAGATCGATCTAAATTTGACAGTATCTGGAAGAAAGCAGTATACCTTACCCATGAAGGTACTTCTAAGTTTGCACTACAACATGCTATGGAGTGCAAGACATATTTTAAACTGCTTCCGTGTACAGACTTCCACTTATACAATACAGCTATTTAACTGTGGGATTGGAGAAGGAGATGACAAAACTTCATGTTTACAAGTACATTCAGAAAAGCTTTATACAAAGTCAACAAACACCTACAGGGCTGCAGAAGCCACAGGCAATATCTGTTTGGGATTCAAATTCCAATCTTAGAGCTTCAGATCAGCTATAAATATATACCTATTCCTTAAGGGAGACACACACACCGCAGGGGAGGTGCTGCATGCTACCTAAGACAGTGGCCTCCCGGTAGTGTGTTTCTCTCTGATGAATTCGGACATCATCTTCATTTTGCTACATAGCTTTGACTAGAAAAAAACACTAAAAATACATATTAAAACTCTTACTCCTGTTAGGGTCCACCAGACCTAATTTACAAATGTTCTGCCCTTTAATTTTCCCTGAGGAAATGAGTATTATTTACATTATTTTGCAACTACTATCAAGGTATCCTACTTTATATTAAAAGGGAGGGGAGGGTGATAACACTTGCCCTGCTGCCCTCACAGGATTAAATGGGACTGTGTGTAAAGTGCTTTGTAAATGGTAAAGCACTACCTAAAAGCGAGCTATTATTATATACAATTTTAGTCACTTCTCAGGCTAGATGAACGCTGCAGTTTCCCCTTTCTATAGAAGCCTTCCAGAGTGGGGGAAAAAATTAAAAGCGTTTGCAGCACAGACTCTGGATTTAGAACTGAGATCTGCTTTCCAGTGTAGCTTAGACTGAAGTAAAAGATAAAGTCCACTTATATTTAATTATCAACTTTAAAGTTCATAGGTTAGACTTCATTTTCAGAACTCATTTCTACCATGCAAATGAAGCCTTCTGTTAAAATTTCATGGAAAGTCAAAAGGCCTGTAACAACTGCATCACTCAGCTGAAAAGTTTCATTTGCAGATAACAGTTATGACCAGAAAGGCAATTCTGTAATAAAAGTGGCACCTCATCTCCCTCTGTGCCTCCCAGGTCACAGTTTATGGACAAAAATATGCTGCAAAGCACAAAGTATGCTGGGTGAGTGAATTCATAGTTTGTGACTGCCCCGGGTGCTCCCAGCAAGAGAAGACAAAGTGGCCAACAAGTATGGGATAAAGGGGTGGAAGCATCCATGCCGTGTTTTACATTAGGAAGAGAGGTGACCTTTCCACCCCGGTAATGGAAGCTTTTGTTCTTCAGGGCCTTTCCCTCTTCCTTAGATGAGCCTGCAGTTTGTTTTCTTTTCAGCAAGACATGATGGTGTCACGATCTGAGGTGGAAGGGCGAGCCCCTAAATGCAGTTTGGTCACAGCACCACTCAAATCTGTGCCAGGCAAATGAACTCCTGCCTATGTCTTCTCCTACCTCCCACCTGGTTCCCCCAATGGGAAGTCTCTTTTCTACTTTTTAAGTTCCCCTTTCAAGGAAGTTTGGTACATCTCTACTGGAAAGCACTGAGGGGCTTTGGCAAAAGCATTTTATAAGAATTATTAAGATAAATGATGCCTGATTCTAGAAGGGGCCATGCTGATCACAGTACGTGCAGAGTACCATATTCTTTTCAACTATTTGGGGAATACAGTGTTGGCAGTAAAGAAATGCCCTCTATAGAGAAGACAGGAAACTTTGTGAAAAATCATAAAGTGATGATCACAAAGATGCTTTTAGAAATATTTTTGGACCTTAATTCATATTCTTGCCACTCCTTCTGTGTGGGCAGAGCTCCAGTGAGTTGCATGAGGCATTTATATAAGTAGCAAGGGGGTAGTTGGAACTTTCAGAATGAGGTCAACTTCTAACTTTCCTTCCTCCTCCTTCAACCACCAAATGACGAATTAAGATGATATATTGCCCAATGTAACATTATAAGACGAATGTGGTTTAATTTGGCACTTGAGATAAACAATTACAACCAAATTATCCTACTTCTTTAAAATAGATAAAAGAATTTGCTTTTGTAGTTTGGAACTGTTTTTTGGATTAAAAACAACAACAACAATGACCTTTCTTGGGTTTATATTTAAGAAGTCACAATTCCCTTTCTCCTTGGTCAGCCAGGGAAAACTTCACATCTCCCAGCTACCCCAAATGCCAAAGTATGGGGCCTCGATTGTTCAATATGCCAATGCAAGCATGTATTATGAAAGCAAAACCAGGGCTGTGTACCCCTGGCTTTGGAGCACTGTCTAGTGTCCAATAAAAACTTGCTGTCTGGAAATCAGTTAGATGAACATCTCCCAATCTTTTTTTGTATTGCTCTTCCCTGGCTGATTTGGTGACTCAGTATGAACAATGACGGCTTTAAACCTGGAGTTCTTAACCTAGGGTCTATAAACTTGTATTTTAAAAAGTATTTTGATAATTGTATTTCAGCATAACTGATTTTCTTTGTAACCATATCTATTAAGAATATTATTCTGAGAAGGGGTCTATAGGCTTAACCAGGCTGCCAAAAGAGTCTATGACCTCAAAAAATGTTAGGAACTCTTCCTTTAAACTGAAGTGATGGTTTGTGTAGGTGACTAGGAAGGAAGTAGCTGGGAGGCATAGGCCTTTCATTACAACTGTATCGAGTCTGAGAATCAGATGATGCCTGAAGTTGGGGAGGGAAAGTTATCTAGAGTACTTCTGGAGAACATCACACCACACTAGAATATCTCTTGGGAGGTGGGGTGGGGTTTGGGGCTGACTACAATGGCCACGGAAACTGATCCCATGCAGAGCTCTCCCCTACACCTAGGTCTCATGGAATGTGGAGAATTCAGTTCTTCATTATCGACTAATAAATCAGACGAACAAAACCAAGGAATAGATTCTCTCTGTAAATAGGCCAAGGAGCTTCAGAGAGACACTGATTGCATTGCTAGTCGTAAGATAAACCAGAACAAACTCTTAACCATACACAGAACTGTCCTACTGAGTGGGTGAGTAGTGTCATCTTGGTTATAAGACAGTAGTATGATAGGCACAATGACATGAGAGGGAAGAAAGAGACCAGGGGCAAATAAATGAGCCAGAAGATGATGGAATTTTTCAAAGACTGTTTTCATGGCTGACCTAGGGAATGTCATACTACATAGCAAGTATTAGAAAGTACTTTTTTCCTCTCAAGAATTGTGTTACTAAAGTTGGGTGAGGTTGTACAAATGCTATTATTTTCTGATATCTGGAGCTAAGGGGTTTTAAAGAAGTATCAGTAGAACTGACTAAAAACAAATGATTAAACCAGGCCAGTCATTAACCTATAAGAAACAAAGGACCACGGTTCTCTCTATGAGGGATCTGAAAAAAAATTTGCCAGAAAATAAGCATAAATAATGGGGGTCAGTATATTGCACTGAGCAACCTACCTGTACTTCCCTTTTTTTAAATATAAAAAGGGAAATAAGGCTTAATAAGATTTCAGTTTAGAAATTTGTGTGTGTGTGTGTGTGCAATTTCTAAACATAGTAACACCCTTCCTTTGTGCAATTTTACTTAACATTCCTATGGCTGATGCTAATTTTCGAGTTCTAAACAATACATCTTCTAAGGTGCTATTCTTCTTTGCACAGGGGTAGGAGAGAGTAAATGTTTAGTAGGGCAATAGGTTTTAGATTGGATGGAAAATTAACTTATTTGTAGGGCCTAGCTCTCAAATGAATTGTTTTTTTTAAGCTAAGGCCTTAGATCCTGTACATACTACCTATTTTAAACCTTGACCCTACTAAACAGAGATATTACTATAACCACACCTTGTATACATCAACATGGCATCTTCCTTTTGTTTATTGTATTTTCTCCAACTCAGATAATTATCAATAAATAGCCCCAAAATTTTCAAATGATAAAAAATAAAGGTCTGTATCTTGCATTAACCCCTACAAAGATCTATAGTATTCATTAACCCATATACCAGACATGCAAAAGCATAAAAATTTATAAAAGTGCACTCAAAATAGGAATTGGTTTTCTAACTCAAAATGACTTTTTAGAATGGATGAGACTACGTAGGCTGTGTTCTGCATTTAAAACCAACCTCACAGGTTTCTGTGTATGGGACATTTCCAATTTTTATACCTTTTCCGAAAAGTTAGTTGTAGAATACTTTTTCTTTTTTTGTGGAAAGGACTAGTGACCCATTAAGCTGGCAACAGTCTCACAAACAAGCAATAATAGTAAACAGAGCTGAGCTGCTGGTTTGGATCACATCCCTGAAAAAAAGGATTAAGGGTTACCCAGATGGCTACATGGACCAGTTCTTGATGGAGTTGCAATAAGATGGAGAGAGGCAGGAGGTTGCCCCTCATGGCATGGCCACTACATCATAGAAAGCCAAGCAATTAGAAAAAGCTTCTTGGGAAATCAAGTGAAGCTCCCAGATGTTTCCCAATGATGACAATTGGATTTCCTGATCTCAGCTCATGGCTGAAGTTTGCTGGTGATTTCCATCATTTGTTATCTTTTTTGTGTTCTTAAAAGCCCCAGGGGGCTTACAGGTTAATAGCTCCCACAGGACTTCTGGTGTGTGGCCATTTTTTTTTTTTAAAGAAAACCCCAAATGGAAAAGAAATCATGAGTGCTGTTTGTCCCTAAAGCACAGCAGGGTACGCATGGCTCCAAGGGGTCAAATGGGAAAGAGAAGCAAGACTGTTCACATTGGGAATTATGCAGTAGAGTCCATTCTTTGTACAAATGCTGTTGAATAAACTGTAGCTTATGTGGTGGGTTGTTCTTAAAGTGTCAGAAAAAAAATCTTGGAAGGTATGTTAGTCAGAAAACATAGCAAAAGATACCTCCATTCTGGGGAAAGAAGGGTTTGTTGTTTTAACTGCTACAGAAGTTCACAGTACAGTTACAAGATCTACTGGGGCCAGGGTGATGAGGAAGTCACAGAGCAAAAGGTTAACTTTTTTTTTTAAACTAAAAAAAAGTTATAGCTGCTTCCAGGTTGGATACTGGTTGGTGATGCTAGTTACTTTAAAAATTTTTTTTGCTGTTCTTCCACACACAGGTTTTTCGAAAGGCTTCACCTTGGCTACGAGTGCATTTTGGTGGTTAATGCAAAAAGCTCTTTTCAAAACCAGGAGTGGAAGGAGAGGGCAGGAAGAGTGTCAAGGGCAGCTGCTGGCAGGCTCCTGGGCATCCACACCCCACACCCTTGAGGCTTCCACTCTTCAGTCAATGAACCTTTGGCAGGCCTTCTTCCAACGGCATGCAGTGCACCACATGTCTCGATTCTCCATGCCATAAACCTTCCGGCATTTTTTGCCCTCCCCCCGTGGCTTTCTGTAAGATAGAAAAGAGGCATCTAATCAATGGGGGTTCATGGACTTTCTCTTGAACCTGAAGCCCAAGTCTCAGTTTCCTCATTGATAAAACAGGGACAAGAATACTTGTAGTACCTACTTCACTGGGTTGTTGTGAGGATGAAATGAGACAAATCATGTAAAGTGCTTTATAAACCTTGAACCTCTATATAAATATTAGTTATTATCAATCAATTTATTAGGAAGCATTTATTAAATACCTACTATGTACTAGGTGCTATGCTAGTTACTGGAGATATATTAATCTCCTAAAAGCAGAAAAAAAACCCTAGTAACTATATGAAGAAATGGAATTCTATCTGGGATTTCAAGTGATTACTAAATTTTGGGAATGGCATCATTGAATTATAATGGTTAAGCCTAGATAACTGGATACCTTGCTGTACCTCTTAAATTTTAATCTCCCTATTTTTGGGATGGAGATGGAACTCCATTAAACATTTTTGGAGGTGGTATACAGTAAGTGGGAAGAACATTGGCTTTGGAGTCAGAGTACCTGAGTTCAAATCCTACCTTGGCTACTTCCTACCTGTATGACATTGGACAATTCATTTAACCTAGCTTTTGGTTTCTCTATCTGTAATAAGAGGGTATTGAGCCAGACGGTGTCTAAGTTACCTTACAGCTCTAAGTCTATAATTTCTTCATGAAAGTTTTATTTTTTTATTTAAAAGGAGCTTAAGTGTTAATAAAACAATGTTACCCCTTGAGGTTTTCTTTTTTTTTCTTCTGAATTTAAATGGCAAAAAAGATTTCCATGTATACAGAAGAACACAATAAAAGGATTGTATATGAAACCGAGTCTCTATTTCATACCATTTGCTTTTAAAAAAGTACATAATATATTCCACATGTTCATTTCAAGACTATCCTGCTTTTTTGTGTTTTTTTCTGAACTTCCTTCTGTTCTCATCTGTGAATTTAAAAATGTTTTAATGATCCTTTTGGCACTGCTATCCCCTTTCCCTCCTTAAACACAATTAAAAACAGAGAGAAAGGGAAAAGGACCTACATGTGCAAAAATATTTACAGCAGGTCTTTTTGTGATGGCAAAGAACTGGAAATTGAGGGGATGCTCAATGATTGGGGAATGGCTAAACAAGCTGTAGTATATGAATGTATTGGAATACTATTGTTCTGTAAGTTAAGATGAGCAGGCAGACTTCAGACAAAACCTGGAAAGACTTACATGAACTGAGGCAGCATGTAGTGAGCAGAACGAAGTGAGCAGAACCAGGAGAACATCACACACAGTAACAGCAACACTGTGCAATGATCAACTATGATTGATGTAGCTCTTCTTAGTAATACAATGATCTACAACAATTCCAAAAGACTCATGATGGAAAATGCTATCCACATCCAGAGAAAGAACTACGGAGTCTGAATGCAGATCAAAGCATACTATTTTCATGTTATTTATTTTGTAGTTTTTTCCTTTTGTTCTGTTTCTTTTTTTTACAATGTGACTAATAAGGAAATATGTTTTACATGATTGCACATATATATAACCTGCATCAAATTGCTTACCATCTTAGAGAGGAAGGAGGCGGAGGGAGAAAAAATTGCAACTCAAAATCTTATTAAAAAAATGAATGTTAAAAATTATCTTTATATGTAATTGGGAAAAATAAAATACAAGTTAAAAAAAAAACAGAGGGAGAAAAAAACCCCTTGTAACAAATAAGCATCGGCAAAGCAAACAAATCTACATGGTGACCATGTCCAAAAATTTGTCTCTTGTTTTACTTTGGGAGTATCATTTTTCTGTCAGGAGGTGGGTAGCACACATCATTCTCAAGAGCCATGGCTGGTTTGATCAGAGCTCTTCAATCTTTCAGAGTAGATTTTCTTTACAACGTTGTTGTCATTGCATAAATTGTTCTCTTGGTTCTGCTCACTTCATTATGCATGGGTTCGTAAATCCCAAGATTCTGTGAAATCATCTCTTTCAATAGTTTCTTGTGGTATAATAATATTCCATTACATTCATATATCACAATTTGTTTAGCTATTAACCAAATAATGGGCAGCACCTTAGATTATTCCTTATTTCTCTCCCTCAATACCCTTTCAGAACTGTGTTCTGAAAAGACACTTGTTACTTCTCCCTTCATTACAATATTAGCACTGTGTCATCATATAGTTCCTTCCAACTGCTTAAATAAATTTGTCATTCTATTTTTCTTTGACTCTTATCTAGTGTTTACATTTCAAGGTTTTTAGTGAGATGATACTAGAGGAGTCTGGGTCATAAATTTGACACCACGTACCCCGAGTTCCTATCAAATAAATCAATCATTTAAGGCACATAAGGGATGAAACCTGCAAAACTGGGGTCTGGGTATTGACCCTTCATGATAAGCTCATAACAAGGGTGCCATGTTGCCTTGATGGGTGTGAAGTGCTGAAAGTAGTGATGAGGGTGGGGAGTGAAGTGCTGGGAACATGCCCAATGGGAGGCTGAGTATACCCAGATCGTTTCTTCTTTCTCAGCTATAGTCTTTTCATGAGAAATACACAAAAGTCATGTATTTATTCTATTAAAGGTCCATTTTTTTCCTCTACAGATTTATATTCATACTAGTTTTTTTATTGGTATTCTACAGAAATGCTGGTGATTTGTGTGGTTTATTTTACATCCTATAAGTTTCCTGAAGTTATTGTTTCAATTAATTTTTAATTGACTAGCTTTAAGTATACTATCATTTCTTTTGCAAAAAGTAATAATTTTGCCTCTTCTTTATCTATACTTATTCCCTTGATTTGTTTTTCTTGTTTTATTGCTATAGCGAGCAGTTCTCGTACTATGGCAAATAGAAGTGGTTATAATGGCCATCCTTGTTTCACCTGATTTTATCGGAAAGGATTCTAGTTTATCCCCATTACATATAATGGTAGTTCTACATTTTAGATATGCAGTATAATAGTTATTATTTTGATGAAAACTCCATTAATTCCTGTATTTTCATAGTGTTTTGTAACAGAAATAGATGTATTTTGTTCCAAGCTTTTCTTGCATCTATTGATATAATCAATATCATTATTGTTCATTTTATTATTAATATGGAAAATAAAGTTTAGAGTTTTCCTAATATTAAGCTAGCTCTGCATTCCTAGTATAAATCTAATCTACTTCCAATGTAAAATCTTTTATGATAGGTTGTTTTAGCCTCTTTGCATTAATGTTCATTAGGGATATTGAACTCTATTTTCTTTTTCTGTTTTAACTTTGCTGGTTTATGAATCAAGACCATATCTATGTCACAGAAGGGATTTGGTGGGATGCCTTATCTTCTTCTGCTATTTCTGTAAACTATTTATGTAACATTAATCAAACTGTTCTTTGAATGCTTTGTAGAATTTACTTGTAAATCTACCCGGTTTTGGAATTTTTTCTTTGGGAGTCCATGCATGGCTTGAAGTTGGGTTGCTTAAAATCTCTATTTCTTATTCTGTCAATCTGGGTATTTCACATATTTGCAAATATTCAACCATTTCATTTTCATCATTAGTCCTCCGGAATCATGGATAGCCATTGTAATGATTGTGGCTTTCTTACAGCTTGGTTTGGCTTTCTTACAGCTTTCAAAGCTGTTTTTCTTTAAAGCGTTGTTATCATTATCAATAGTTCTTGTTCTGCTCATTTCATTACTTGATTTTTAACAGTCTTCAAAATCATTTGTTTTAAAAATGAATGTAAATTGTTCTTCTAGTTCTGCTCACTTCTCTCTGCATCAGTTCATACAAGCTTTTCTACGTGTCTTTGAAATAATGTATTTTCTTCTTACAACACAATAGCACTCCATCCCATTCACATTCCATGACTTATTCATCTATTCCTTAACTGGTGGGCATTCCTTTAGTTTGCACTTTTTTGCCAACCACAAAAAGTGAAGCTAAAATAATTTTGTACATATACGAACTTCTTCTTCCTTGACTTCTTTCAGATCTAGGCCTAGCAGTGGTATAGCTAGACGAAAGGACATGTACCATTTAGTAATTTTTTGTGTGTGTATAATTCTAAGTTGCTTTACAGAATGGTTGTGGGGTATAGCTAGGTGGCACAGCGAAGAGAGTGCTGGATTTGGAGTCAGAAAGACTCATCTCTCCCATTTACCATTTTGCTTTTTTGTAATCTTTGCTAATCTATTGGGTGTAAAATGTAATCTCAGGAATGTTTTAATTCAAAGTTCCCTAGTTATTAATTATTGGTAGTATTTATTCATATGTCCATAAACAGTCTGAGTTTTTTTCATTGACAACTGCCTGTTCATATCCTAAGTCCACTTATCAACTGGGGAATGACCCTTACTCTTATAAATTTGAATAATTTCCTCATATATCTTGGAAATAAGACCTTTATCAGAGAAACTTGATGCAAAATTTTTTCCCCAATTAATAATTTTCCATGTGATATTGATTTTATTGGATTTGTTTGGGCAAAACCTTTTAAATTTCACGTAATCAAAATTATCCATCTTATTTTCTGTGATTCTCTCTATTCTTTGTTTGGTCATAAATTTTTCTCATATTCATAGATGTGATAAGTATTTTTTCTATTTTTCTTTAATTTGTTTATGATGTGACCTTTTAATATTTAGGTCAAGAATCTATTTGGAGCTCACCTTGGTATAATATGTGAAGTGTTCATCTGAATTAAATCTCTTTTATACTACTGTCCAATTTTCCCGGAAAGTTTTATCAAATAATAAGTCCTTATCCTAGTAGCTGGAGTGTTTATATTTACTGAATACTAGGCTTTGGGGTTTAGTTGCTTCTGTATGTTGTGCACCTTATCTGTTCCACTGATTGATCTCTCTATTTTTTAAACAGTACCAAATTGTTTCAAGAATTATTGCCTTTTAATACAATTGAGCCTTAATACTCAGACCACCTTCATTCCCACTTTTTTTCATGATTTCCCATGATATTTTGACCTCTTCTGTCTCCACATTAATTTTTACTATTATTTTTTCTACAAAGTAATCTTTTGATAGTTTGACTGCTATGGCATTGAATAAATAAATTTAGAAAGTATTGTCATTTTTATTATATTGACTTGGGCTACTTTTATCACAAGCAGATAATATTTTTCCCATTATTTAGGTCTGTCTTTATTTCTGTAATAGTGGTTTAGAATTGTATTTATATAGTTCTTGCGTGTTTCTTGCTAGGTAGAGTTCCGAGTATGTTACACATTATGTAGTGAGACAGAGTCGCATTAAGTCATCAGCCTCACTCTCTCTTCCAGAGTCGTCACAGTCCAGTGGCAGAGTCAAGATGACTGGTGATGGCTTGGGATGCAGTAGATGACCTTGGTGTCTTCTTTTTTGTATGTCTGTGAATCACTTCCATTTGAACTGTCTTAGGAAGATTGTGAATATCACCTGGCAGTATAAGGTACTGGACACTGAGGCCCTTTCTTGAACTAAACTGCCAAACATTCAAACTCTACTGCAGAGATCACAACTCCAATGGGCTGGCCACACTGTTCAAAAGCCAAAGGTATACTTGGCTAAAAGACTATTTTACGGGGAACTCACACAACGCAAGCACTCACATTGTGGTCAGAAGAAGTGATACAAGGACACTCTCAAGGTCTCTCTGAAGAATTGTGGAATTGAGTGACATGGGAGATTCTGGCAAAGGATCACCCAGCATGGCATACCTGCGTTAAAGAAAGTGCTGTGCTCTAGGAAATAGCTCAAAAGAAATGCAAGATATGCAAATTTAGAGAATCCATCCAGAATGTTCACAGGGACTATTTGTGCCCGACCTGTGGTGGAACACTCCGAGCTCATATTGGTCTGATTACCCACAGTCAGACACACTGGACCTCGACCCCAACGTAATGATGTCATTTTGGTCCTCTCTCAGAATGAACAAGCAACCAACATTATGTAGTTATTTTAAGTGAGTATTTTATGTAGTTATTTTAAGCTGAGTATTTTTTTGGGTTTTATCACCTTCTGAGAGAGTAGATGTAAGGTACAGAATGAAACAAACATTTTTGTATACAGCCACTGAGAGAATTTGTTTTTCTTTTTTCTCTGTCCCTCTCTCTTCTCTCTCTCTCTGTTTTCTAATTAAGTGGGACGGAGAGAAAATAGATTTCTGTTAATTAAAAAGAACAATTTTAAAAGAATTGTTAAAAAAGTTGTGTGTGTGTGTGTGTCTGTGTGCTACAGATGTGCTACAGATTGCATATCCTTTTAGATAGGTCACTATATTGCAAGTTTTATTGTTTTACTTTGTTCCACCTCTCCCAGAGTGGGGGTAAACTGGGAATGTTTGTAATGTAAAAACCAAAACATCAATAAAAATTAAAAAACTTTTATTTTGAACTCTTCAGGGTAAGTTATTCTTGTTTGCAAGACAACAGCTTTTGCCTTTTAGAATACTGTATTCTAAGATTTATTCTCTTGTATAGTAGAAACTGCCAGGTCCTGTGACATCCTGACTGTGTTTCTTTGGTACTTGAACTGCTTCTTTCTGGATCTGTGCAGTGTTTTTCCTTTGACTTCGAAGCTCTGGATTTTGTCTATGAGACTTTTGCTTTTGAGATTTATTCAGGTGGATATTAGTGGATTAATTCTATCTTTACTTTGCTCTCTGGTTCTAATAGATCTCAGCAGTTTTCATTTACGATTCCTTGAAACACAGTATCTAAGATTTTTTTAATCATAATTTTCAGAGAGGAAGACCATTCTTGAATTACTTCTCCTTGACCATTTTTCCAGGTCAGTTGTTTCTGATATCAGATAGCTTATGTTTTCTTCTATTTCTTCAGTATTTTTATTTTGTTTTCATATTCCTTACTGTCTCAGAAGAGTCAATGATTTCTGTTTGGCCTAGGCTAGTTTTCAGTTAGCCCATTATCTTAGCAAGGTTTACCACTTATTGTTCTAAGTTATTTATTCTCTTCTGATTCTTTCAGATCTTTTAATTCATTTCTTATCTTCTACTTCACTTCTTCTGGGTATTAACACAGTTCTTGTGGAAAATCGACCCTTTTCCCCTCGAGTCTCTGCTTTTGGTTTTTATAATTACTCTCTTTCAGGTTGGATTTTTTTATATCTCTGCATCTACAAGAATTCTTTATAGTAGCTAGTGTTTTCTTTGTTTTACTCATCTCTCCAGCCTTAGTTCCTGAACTTGAACTTTTTGCTAGGGGCACGCTTTGTCTCTAATGTACTTTTTGGGAGGGGTGATAGACCCTACCTGGCTTCAACCTGTTTATCTGGGTTTCTGTGCTCACCTCCACCTCTCTGGGTTAGCACCCCTGCTCACCCATTCCAATCTTTGCAGCTCAGCACAATGGACTGTCAGGGCGCTTCATGCCATCTCAAGAAGGCATGCTAGGGGCTTTGAGGCCCAGGGGTCCAGGGCATCTAGGTGTGGTTGCAACTGTACTAGTTGATATAGATTCTGTTTGTTTCCAACCCCACAGTGGGTTCTGACCCCCTAGAGTCATGTCTAAGAGTATTTCCTAGCCTCCTCCACAACCTGCTTTGGGTACAAAAATTTTCAGTTATAGCCCTTTCTGTAAGGTTTTTTAGGAGGTCCTCTTGGATTGATTAAGAAAATCTAGTATCTCATTCAATAGAAAACTTATCTGATGAAGCCCAGACTTTAAATTGACCTAGTATAAGCAGATAAGTATGAATTAAAAGAGTTTAGAGTAAAAATCTGTGCCTTGAATTTATGTAACTATTGAGCCTTAAACATAACAAATGCCTTTACCTGTCCCTTAATAAAACAAACTTATTCTAGAAATTTTACCACAACTCTCCTCCACCTTCCAATTGACAACTCTGGGTCAGTGACTGATGAATGCAAAAAGTGAGACTGAAGGAAAGGGTATTTTAATTCTACCATTGTACCACAGGACAGGTTTAAAGAAGATTCTGTTGCTTATTTCTCTGTTCCTTTGATGTATTTCTAATTGTGATTTGGTTTTCTTGGGACTAGACTTGTTCCTCAGCTGTTTCAGTACTCATACCTTAAGCTGACTGCTCCTCTGGGAGGTGAAGACAGGACTGAATGATTCTGCTGTTGTCTCTGCTCTCCTATGCCCACAGGACGATTGTGTGTTGGGGAAACCTAGCAGAAAACACAGAGAACACAATTTATAATGTAATGCCTGTTTTTCTAAAATCCTTCCTCTCATCACACTGTGCCGTGTAAGACACTTGGATACACAGACTGACTACTCAAAGAAAAGGCACATTCTCTGTCTTCCCAGAGGTTGCCTTTTAAAACAGACAAGATAATGACAATATGGCCTTTTTTTTTTTAAATGTAAAACAAGAAAGACAACCTGTTAAAAATGGCGACAGCCAAAGAACAATGCCCAAGCTTCTGTTATGTGCATTCTGGAAGCTGTCCTTAGTAACAATCTATATTTCAAAAGTATTTTTATTTTATTTTTTTCAAAAATAGAAAAGTTTTATTTACACTTTAAAATTCTTTACAGAAACCAAGGGATTGTGCTTTTAGAGCCATGAAGTATGAAGTGGCTTGTTGGAGGCTTGTTTCTCCCTGCCCCATGGACTATTCTAGAAGATTTATCCAGCATTAGAGATTGCTACTGGCGCAGGTTTATCTTGAGGGGAACAACCCCTTCTACATTAATTTTTACCAGGCTCCAAGGATAGGGTAAGTGCTCAATTTACATTTATATATAATTTAAAAAAATATATATTTTATTTTTACCCCCAATTACGTGTTAAAACAATTTAACATTTAAAAAAAAAGTTTTGAGTTCCAAATTCTATCCCTCCATCCTGTCCTTCCCAAGAAGGTAAGCAATCCATTATAGTTTTTATACCTGTGTAATCATGTAAAACATTTCCATATTAGTCATTTTGTACAAGAAGACTCAAATTTAAAAAAAGAATGAAAGAAAGTGAAATATAGCATGCTTCAGTCTGTATTCAGACAGTATCAGTTCTTTTTCTAGAGGCAGACATTTAACTGAATAGAGTGAACTCATCCCCTGCATGAATAAATGGCAGAATCAGAAGAGACCATCTTGGCTTTGGATCTAGTCACATCCCCTCCCATTTTCCATTTCCTGTTCAGAAGACCTATCTCTCTACCCCTCCACTCCCCATCTATAAAACCATTTACAACACTGAGATCTATACAGCATAGAGGACGTAGGCAAGGGTGTCTTTTCCCCTCCAGTTCTCCCTATGGTCTTCCTGGTATATCGTCTTGACCTTGGTCATCTTCTTCCTAGTGAATCAGTCCCCAGTCTCTCTGGTGAAAACGCTGGTTGATGGCAAGGGCAGGAATGTGGGCAGAGAATCACTGGCTCTATACAGCTTGTGAGAAGACTCAATAAGAGATAAAAATAACTCTAGGCCCTCCTTCCTATAGGAAGTGCTCCAGGATTGACCCTGTCTTGTCTCTATGCTTTTTCACATTCTTCTGGTTTAAATATCATCCAGCCTAGAGCTAAAAGAGCCTTGGAGATCATCTTGCTCAATGCTCTGCTCTTAGAGATAGACACAGGAGCTGAAGACCATAATGGTTGAATGACCTAAGGCCATATATGTCGAAGGTCCAGAACTTAGTCAGGTCCTTTGATCTCAAATAAAATGATTTTTCAAGCATACCACCAAGACTCTCCAAAATTTCATCTTGTTTCCTCTCCACCTGCAAAAGCTCTCACACCCCCATATCACAAGAAGGCAAAATCTTACACTGTGTTTCCTTATTTATTCTATACCTTTTCCTTCTCCTCGTTATTCTCTTCTTCATCTGTGTCGGAAACCTGGAGGTCCTCATACAGAATACTGTGCTGGTGCTTCGGGGCCGGGCCGTTTGTAATTCTGTCCAGAGAAGGAACTTGGGGTACCCCTGCACCTGACTTCTGTAGGGGGATTGGCTCTGTGTCCTTGTCCAATGGGGGTCTCTGAAGTGATCTGCCCAGTTTGTCCCGAGGAACTTGTCTGGAAGCAATTGTGGGTTCCTGGGTCAATTCTTGACCAAGTTGGCATAAAGAATTTCTGGGCCTTTTGCACTGCTGGTCAGATGAATCACGCAACCATGGCTTTGAAGAGGTTAAGGGATTCTGAGACTTTCTGGCAGAATGAGACCGGAGGCATGGAGGAATTGGGCCCGCCTTGGGCAGAGGGATCACTGGTTTCTGAGTTTGGGCCATGAAGTCTAGTCCTTTCTGGGAAGGCCCTGTTAAACTTCTGTATTTCTGTTGAAGCCAATTTTGAAGACTCCAGTCTTTACGCAGGGGTTCTGAGGGAGGTTCAGGTTCACTCTGAGCTAACTGGACTGGAGGTGGCAGAGTCTTCTGAAGGGGTTTGGCCATAAGCTCCACAGATGGAGTCCTCCCAGGCCTTTCCAAAGGGACCTGGGGAGATGGTACCGGATGAGGAGATTTTGCATACCTGTTGGACGAAGGGCAAGGAGGAACAGGTTGGCATGGATGCTGGATGCAGCTCAAACTTTCACTAGGGTCCAGAGGCACAAATTGTTTCTTCTGGGGAGAGCCAGACTGGCTCTTCTGGGGCAGGGGCACAGGTTGTCTCTTCTGGGGAGGGCCAGACTGGCTCTCCTGGAGCAGGGACACACACTGTCTCTTCTGAGGAGGGCCAGACTGGCTCTTCCGGGGTAGGCGCGCAGATTGTCTCTCCTGGGGAGGGCCAGACTGGCTCTTCTGAGGCAGGGGAACACATCGTCTCTTCTGGGGAGATGGTACTAGATGAGGAGATTTTGCATGTCTACTAGATGGAGGGCAAGGAGGAGCAGGTTGGCATGGATGCCGGATGCAGCTCAAACTTTCACTAGGGTCCATGTGCACGAATTGTCTCTTCTGGGGAGGGTCAGACTGGCTGTTTTGGAGCAGGGTCACACATTGTCTCTTCTGGGGAGGGCCAGACTGGCTCTCCTGAGGCAGGCGCACACACTGTTTCTTCTGAGGAGGGCCAGACTGGCTCTTCTTGGGTAGGCACACAGATTGTCTCTGCTGGGGAGGGCCAGACTGGCTCTTCTGGGGCAAGGGCTGTTTCTCAACTTTCACCTTCAAAGTCTGCCTTTGGACCTCATTCATGGTTTCAAATAGCTTTCCCTTCATGAAAATCTTGGTTCCTTGGAGTTTGATAAGGGACTCCTGAGGGAGTTGTTTAGCCAGCTCCTTCTCCTCCTGTTCCCGGGTCATGCCCTTGAGCCTGGAGCCCAGGTCCTTGGGTGGGCAGTATTTTGGACACATCTTGTTTGTCTTAATGTGTCCATGGGATCCACAGTTACCACATATTAGACCCAATTTAGGGGCCTCTGGCTTGGGAAGATGTTCTAAGGGGAGGCATTCCTTCTGCTCTTTCCTTTCCTCTGCTTTGCAGATGCGGCGAAGTTTATCTTGGAGACTTTTCTTCTCTTTCCGCAATTCCCGCTGTTTCTGCTCCTCTGCCAGAAGGATCTTCTGGATGGAGTCCTCATCCTTGGTGCTCCTCACGAGGACGTATGCTCTGACCACTGCTGGGTCCTGGACTATCTCACTCCGCACATACTCCTTGCCAGACTCATCAATATAAGTCCGGTGGATAACCAGAGACATAGGAGTTGAGGTGGTTGAGCCCCGACCTCGCTTCTCTTTCTTGCCTTTGTCTTGGAGGCGAGCGGCCCCATCTCTGAGCATCAGCTGCCGCAGCTCCTGGAGCTCCTGCTTTTCCTTCTCTCTCTGTAGCCTCTGAGGGCTGGTCTTACCCTCCAGGAGGTCCTCAATTTCACAAGACATCCGTTCCACCACATGACCATTCTCTTCATCTGAGCTGCTACTGTCCGTGTCTGTGGACAGCACCTCGGTAGAAGCCAGGAGCTTGTTCTGGAGGTCAAAAACTCTTTGGACCTGTTGCTGGTAGTGTCTTTGTTGCTCTGCCCCTAAGGAATGGGGCACTCGCACAAATCTGGTGAGGGTTCTGGTCTTGGTCCCTGAGTATAGCTCCTTGGTAGATAGGGCTCGGATAGCCGCGACTACCTCCCAGCGGGACAGCTTCTGGATCTCCTCCTCTGACATCCCAGACACCCTCAGCAACTTCTTGGCTTCCTTCAGGGTGAGACATCGAAGGTCTGCATCAGTACCCATCACTTTACCCGCTTCCTTCTCCTGCTTAGGTTTACAAGCAACTTTGACATAGGAGATGCCCTCCCCACAGCCTGTGGGGTCAGCCGCTCCTGTCACCTCTAGCAGACACTGTCCCTTGGTGGCTGCCAGGAAAGCCCGAGTTGTGTTCCATGGAGCAGCCTGGACCTCATCATTGAAACACACGCTTTCATCACTGGTCTCCTCTGTGTTCAGGAGCGATATCTCTCCATAGCCAGCATCCTTGAGGCGCTGCTGGGCAGCCTGCATGCTATACAAAGCACAACATTTCTCTGGGGTCACCATGACCCTCAGCTCCTCTTCGCTTGGCAGGAGGAATCCAGTCTTCAGCACCCACCAATTAAAATAGATGCCTGTGCGATGGAAATCTGAACACTTGGTGAGCCTCCTTCGAATGCTGCTCTCAGAAAGTCTGGGGAAGGCCCTATGGATATCCTCCATACGAATCCTTCGAGGCCTGTGAGGGCTCTTCCAAAACTGCCTATATATAAACACCTGGAGGAATTCATGGATGTAATTCTTTGCCATTTTTGAGTTGGGGGCAGGAACCTCATCCATTGGGCACTGCTGCCCAACAGTAAATATATCTTTCACTTCCCTCAGAAAGTAGCCTGCTTTGGTCACCACAACCAGGAAGTCTGTGTTTGCCATCTGATGTGGGTAGATGGGAGCCCGAAAAAGTTTGTTTTCCAAAGCCTGTAAGAACTGTCCAGCATGGAGTTGCCCTAGGAAGGGTGAGGATGAACAGAACACAGGGTTCCCATACTTGCAGGCAGGAGGCTCAGTGTCCTTCCCATTTTTCCTTTTGTAATAGTTCTGGATTTGGGAAGCCATTCCGACTTGGTTCAAGAATGGTGGATTCTCCTCACTCCATTCAACCAGGATGAGATCTCCATCCTGCCCACTCAGGTCCTGAAGCGTCTTCATAAAAAACATGTGACCTCCCCCTGAAGCCTGCAGCTCCTGCTCCCGTTCCTGG